TTTCGCAAAGATAGGCGAAAAGTTGTGATCTACACATAAATCGTTCCGAAGCACAGACAAAACACAGACAAAGCACAGACAAAACACCAATAGGAATCCATTATGCTACGTGTGTTATAACTTCAGAAAACAACGGTAAACTATATACCAGAAATATATATCGCAGTCCGAACACTTCGGTCGATAGTTTATTAGCCAACCTTAAATATTGAGACAGAAAATTAAAGGAGAGGAGAGGAGACAGAGAAGGAGAGGAGACAGAGAAGATAGAAAACATTTCAAAGTAGATCATTACACATTAGTTTGACCTCCGGATCATAGCAACTTGTACAGAGACTTGTCTCGATCGTCCAAAACAGAGGATAACAATATGTTTCAAAACATCAGTTTGATATGAAGCACAGGTTGTTGACAAAGGAGATGTAGCCTTACCCTCACAAACCCTTGTGAGTATAAGGACCAAGTATCTCAACCACAGCCAGGCGCTCAGCAGAGCACCTATCAAATGTTCGCTAGTCAACGAAATGGGTATGGGACCTATTTGGATAACAAAAACTTCTCATCAAATCTACAACAATAAAAGCATTTATCAGTTGAGATAAGAAATACAAATATGAATTTAACGGAAATCACAGAATAAATTGCATGAAATACAAAATTTTCATAAATAGTACACAAGTAGTTTTCAAACACATCTTGAATTTGAATGATAGCTTCTTTTCAATAACCGCGTATGCTTTATGAAAGTCAGACTGAACCAGAGACTAAGCCATCGGTGAATATCGTTATCGCAATCAAGTATTTCTTTAACTTCCTGGCGTCATTTTGTGAACTTACTTTCCCGTTAAATATGTCAAAGGGAATTAAACAAGTGTGTGGTTATAGATTAATAATTCGGCATTAAACAATAAATCAATAAAACAAATATATACCTTGATATCTCCACCATGAATGCAATAGGGAAATAATGAATATCGTGTTGTGCAATCCTGGACTGGAGTAGGGGTATTAGGAACACAGCTTGATAGGACATTGATGAGGTTCTGACAACTCATAGTTATTAGCTCTCACGTGAACACTGTGTATGACTGATACCGGATATAGCAGGTACCGCAGCGGGCATTAAAGATGGGCGCAGTCAAGTCACGGTAAGTTTTCCGATATTTCAGGCATTTTCTGGTAGTGAAGATACATATAAAGAAGCATGACAGTCAATCATATACATAATTAATATTTGAAACAGGAGACATGTACAATATTTGGTGTTGTTGCAAATTATTTACAAAAACAGTCTGCCTAGTACCGCTAAATCTTCATTCGCAACAGCAAATATTGTCTTTACTTGACATTTGCCGGTACTAAATACATTTATATGCTGCGATGATTACTTATAGTTATATAGTCATGATAATTCATGGAATCATTATATATAATGCTTTGTTCTTTAGATATTGGCATAACTAATTTTGGGTAAGTGTACGGCGAATAGAAAAACCAATGTACGGCGAATAGGAATTTTCAAAAAACCTGGTGTACGGCAGATAGTTCCTATGCTATACGGTATTCAAGTGAATACTTTACCTTAATGTGATATATTTTGGTTTTCTTACAGGAATGGCACGGTATACATGCTGGTATTGCCCGGAGCAGTTTTCTACGTTTGTAGATATAATCCACCACCTTGTTGAATGTCATAGATCTGACCATGTAAAATGTATACGCCAAAAACAAAATACATCAAAAATTTGCAACTTCAACATTACAGTGTGTAGGGAACAGGGTAGGGATTACTATAAAAGAGAACGAAGAAAAACTACATTAATTTCGCCCACATAAAGCTCGAAAAGACAGCCCATTCAGGAAAATATTTAAAACGCGAATATTAAAATTTTGTAAATCAAATGTTCGCTTGATAGCTGAGATACCGTCCTGTGTTGGAGATATCTGGTTCATTCGACCTCTTCTTCTGGAAGAGTCTATCATGAAAGTCGCCCCGTTATTGGAAATAAAGTCCAGTTGCGGCAAGTAGAAAAAGTGTTTTTGAAATGTCAAGAGCTATAGTCAAGAACTGTTATGATATATGTTTGCAAAGAGCGAGTGAAGTGCTAGTTTTCCTTATAGCCGACCTCGATCGTACAAAGCTGAAATACCACATGCCTTTCCTGTTGCTTATGCACTCAAAGGATACAGCATGAAAACAGACGTTATGCGAAAAATGTTGCAATATGTATTGAGAGCTCTTTTCCTTGAAGGTATCTACACACCAGTCGTTTCCTACGATGGTCAGTGGGCAAAGTTGGTATTTCATACTGAGGAAGGGGAATCACTTACCCTTTTGGAACTGCAAAAGAAGGTATTTTCTGATGTGCAAAAGAAAAGCGCTAAGGTACTGTGCTATGAGATATTTCAAACAGGAGTAGTGCAGGTTTCAAGCTATGATGACGTCTTGCGTGAACTCCATGTAAAGAAACTATCCTCGGGATTTCAATTGGGATTAAAGAACACTCAAAAAACATTTCAGACATCTTGTATCATGGTATAGTTCATGAAAAAAAGCAGCAAACAAAAGAAAAAAGATCTTTCAGGAGAAAACACCGTGAACTTGGATGAAGTCCTCTTTAATATTCCTTCAGAAGAAATGTCAGATATCGATACAAACATTTTCCAGTCACATTATGCGTAAGAGCCCCAAACGCAATATTCACCAGCTATTGCGTCTGTTGAAAACGGGAATGATTATGCAGTTGAGCCGATCGTGACATCGACAGTAGAAGATATGATTACAAGAAATGTTCCTGAGGAGGAATTTCAACGAAAGACCAGCTTGAACACACGAATGTACCAAATAAACAGTCAGTTTCTCAATACACTTGAAAAAACGTATCCCTATATATATTGACATTACTTTGAAGTAAATGATTTTACGATCGCGGCAGAACAACCCATCATATTGTGATTTGAACATGTGTTATAGCATGCGAATTTGGGTAATCCTCATCATTACTTAACTCGACATTCATAACACTTTCGACATTCTTTACTGCCCCTTCCCTTACGATATCATTCACAAATGTTGTTACAAAGCAACATCTTAGTATAGCTATTCGCCGTACTGTTAACATGCTAGTCGCCGTACACTTGACAATGTATCAACATCTATTCGCCGTACACAGACGAAAACACATTTCAGTCAATTACATCGTAATGACTTCATTTAGACACATGACCATTAGATGTATATCCCGGTCTCATCTACATATATGCCATTTACGTCCGTTTCGTCATCGTATATGTCGTACTTCAATAGGTATCTGTTATTGTTTCTTTGTATACGATTTTGTACCGGTACTTTGTTGTCATTTGTTACCAATATCTCAAGATCGCATGAAATAGTTTACAAAGTATCTGTATCACACACATCATTGTTCATTGTTGAACTGTTGTGCTTCTTTGTTTGTCTCTTCACTACCAGAAAATACCAGAACAATCGGAAAACTTACCGTGATTTCACTGCGCCCAGCTTTAATGCCCGCTTCGGTACCTGCTTTATCCGGTGTCAGTCATACACAGTGATTAATAATGGTGACATCGTTCTAATGATACCTTAGTTTTCGCAATGATTTCATGTGGACAATTTTAAGTTAAATAATTTACTGAAAGAACTTCTTGTGAAGCTGTGTCTAAGAAGTGAGTATGACCCTCCTATTGTATGTAAAACAAAGAATTACATAAACAAGGCTCATTTGGAGGCAAATTGTGCTCCATATGCTGACATTTAGCGCCAACACGGAGCTAAAAGCCATTTTGAAAGGCAAAGAACCTTCTAAAATTCGAAAATCAGCGGTTTAAAAAAAAAACATGGTCGGGGGTAAAAAGGTAGGGTCGGTCGGGAACCCTAAACAGACATATTTTTTGTTTGGCCTGATCATGTATACCTTATTTAGTTCTAGTAGTACATACACTTGAACTATGAAGAATCATTGTTATTTAAAATAGGTATTATGTTAGTGTCTACTTGTCTAAATGAAATCACGATCCAAAAGTAAAACACAACTGTTTGTCAATAATAAGAACAAACATGTTCTTTTAGCATCTGATTTTCGGTAGAGCCGTCGAAGATCGAATTTGAGATTCGCTGGGAAACCCCGTTAAACGACCAACATGGTTTTCAGTGGCGGATCCAGAGGGGGTTTTTTCTGCTTCAGGAACCCCACCCTGCCTGAGAGTTTTCTATAAAAATCAAGTATTTTCACCATTTTCCTCAATTATTCCCCACATGGAAACCCCCCTGGAAATTTAGAAACCCCCCAGATGGGTATCTGGATCCGCCGCTGGTTTTCGTACTTTGATACCAATTTGGTTCGTCACGTTTTAAGCAATTTAATAGAAACAAAGCAATTTAATAGGAACATAGCAATTTAAGACTAATATTATTTTATTAATAATATTATTAATTCTGTCATTAATCTTTTTCAAATATATTTCTTTATATCGAAACTTAATATTAATACATTTTGAAGTTTTCAATTTCTCAATACTTTCCTTGTAGTTACACTAGCTCGTTAATCTCCCGACTAGACAACAACGCGGGCATTTAGGTGACGCTTCCTCCACAACTGCTTCACCAACCAGTGAGGTCATACTCTATACAAATAGGGGCATTCTACAGTTCTCACACATTGCTATACTTTAATAATAATAGTGTGATAAGAAAAGAAAATAACATGCACAAGGAAATATTTTCAATTTCCTCAAACATAATGAGCTTGCGACCATTGTGTTTTTATTAATTACATGTGTGGATATAAACCTGTGATATTCCTGGAAACGTGAGTGGGCTGTTTATAATCTGTTTGACTAAAGAAATGGAGTGAATATACCTCCCTTGGGTAACATTTTGTATTCGTTTTAAAGCAGTTGATTTTGCAACTTAGATAACAGAGCAGATAATTTATAATGAGATAACAGTTGAAACAGTTGAATAACAATACAAATACACATTTAACAGGATAAAATCAACAATTTATTGGGTCTGTTTGATGTGTTGCAAGATTCTCAACCATTTTCTTGTATACGTTTGAAGACAAAATGTATGTATGTATACAATACATTTTACGTGTATCATTGGCATGAACTACGGTTGTTACATAATCTAACTATAAACTTGTATTTTTTCCTGATTTGTGCAAACACTGATCACAACCTACACCGTGAAGTAGACAACTCCACAGAATCCACGTCCACACCATTTCTGTTTTTTCCGGCACTGAAAGCCAACTATATATCAATGGCTGATATTTGTATCATCTGACAGAAGCTTTCAGAATAATCTGATATTTGTCTTGGTTGATACCAAACTCTCCGAGTCTATATGAATAGTGTTTATGTTGCTCCACAATATTGTCAACTTTTATGTATTATTTCCTGAATCTTTTTGTGAACTTTTCCATATTGAGTTTAAAGGCTGGCCATAACAATGAGAAGTTCCTCCCATACCATTCCCTGCAAAAGGCAAAAGAAATAACATAGTAAACCACTCAGACGAGTTACTGTTCTGCTGGCGTTCAACCCCAACTTTGCTGATACAACAAAAGTTTCATCACTTTCCTCTTTATTTTTGTTTATCTATTTAAGCTAAGAGGGATGACGGAGAACAGCAGTTCAACACATAGTTGAAATCAACAAGTGAGAGCCTTGCTTTTGACACCAGTCATATACTATAATAATAAAAAGTATAACTCTATATGTGTATTGGTAAATATGTTCATGTCAAGTTACAATGTACAATGAGTCTCTTGAATTTAGTAATTTTAGTTATGCAAAACATTAAAATTGTGAAGAATATATTTGATGTTATATCGACTTACGTGACAGTAAAATCTATATCACTACCTTCTTTGCTTGAGTGTACCAAAAAGTTAAAATACTGTTTGTTATTTTCTACAGGTGTACATAATCTATCTCTTTCTATTTTACTAATGTTTACTTGCAAGAATTGAAAATACAATAGAATGCCTTGAAAAAGTTAAACTCTTACATAGATTTAGTCTAGAAGAGGTTAAAGCGCTAGGAACAGTGTACATGTATATGTCTGTGGGTGCAATAGGTGCCTTGCTCTGCCCTGACACACAAACAACATGTGTTTCAGCCTAGTTCTGGTACATGTGATTGTCTTTTTTTTCAGTTTTATATTTGCCCCAGAAGATATAGACCAGAGTTATTCTTTGATGTAATAACAAATGTACCACTTAAATACTTGACAGACTAAGTAGGTTTACCTGTTGTAATTCATGTGGAGTTTGTAGTGATTGTCCAGGAACTTCTTGTAGAAAACAGACATTTCTTCTGCAGATAAAGTTTCAGAATCAGACCCTTCCTCCTGCTTTTCTTCTAGTCGCTTTTTCACAAAGTTCTCTTTCATCTAATCAATAAATATTTGTAATTTAGTTGAAATGTAGCATATTTAGCACCCTCTTTCAAGTTATAGTTGAAGTTATACTGAAATACAATCATTTGGCTGGCCGGCCATAAAGAGATCTTAGGAAATGACAATTAATGAATTAATGAATAATATTTTCTAAATATGTTAAAAATATATCAAGATATGGATATAGAGGCAGAGTGTCTGCCTGCATCCATTATTCATCCTATTGTATCCCATTGTATAGTACTAGTTGATCTCCTAAAATTCAGAGACTGTCAATAAAGAAAATGGAAAGCTAAAATACTACAATTTCACAACTAACAAAATGTGAGTCAATATTTATGCTCATCCCTCAACTCCTAGTAGTAGTGTACTTGAGTAATATCAACCATAAGAAGTATCCCAATTATCTAACATTTGATTTATTTTTTATTTCTGAACAACTTTATTCATCATATACTGATAAAGTCAGTAAAACAATCTTTAAAATGTACATCTTTTGTGGCCCCAGTATGGTTTAATTTGTTGACATCTGTATAGCCTAATACCAATATATATATATATATATCATATTTTTATGTCATTGACCTTATAATTAATTAGATAATATATATCAATACGCAATGGGGTTTTTTCTTTGTTTGTTTGGTGTTTGTTTTTTTAATATTTCCTAGTGTTCCCTAAACTGTTAAAAAAATTGTGTATGACTTATATAATTACTGGTCCATTGCAATTGGTTTTATTTTCATTTAAATATTTTCGATTTCATCAAATCTTAAAAAAAAGAAACAGTGGTCGATAGCTATATATGTAGTCTATTCTAACTTCGGGTGTATATATAACCTATATACCTCATAGAATTCCGTGTTATGTTCAGACCAAAACTCCTGATTCCAGTCTTGTGTTTCTTGTCGCTGGGACCTGTAACTTTTGGCAAGGGGGGAATCTTCTTTACTAACGTGGAACTTTATAGGTCTCAGGTTGGACACCGGATCAGATGGACCGATCCAATCATTTACCATGTCTTCTTCTTTTACCAAACATGGGATTTTCTTCGGGGTGTCCTGTGCACAAAATAACGAGTTAGGTACATGTATGTCAGAGTTACCTCCCTTCAACTGTAAAGTTACTGTAGACACTACTGAATCAACTCAACACTGAAAGCATAATTTTGCAATCAAATGTACACAATGAAAACAAATCATTTATATTTCATTAGATCTACAATTATTCATTTGTTATAAAATGGCGCTTATGCCGTTTTTCTGTCACACTCACAACAGAGACGTTTGGCTTCAGGCCTATGTCTCTGCTCACAGCCACGGTGACACAAGTTGAAGTTAGGCAAAAAGTACGCGTGAGCATTCATTTAAGAAATAACGCATACTTACATCGACCTGTTTGTTCCCTGACTTCGAATGCTTGTAACGACAATACGTCAATCCACGAGTTCTTTGAATTACCCTGAGCATCTTACTGAATTGGTCAGAGACGTTTTATACACAAACGCACAGCAAAGTAGAGCAATGCTAGGCACGGAACTTTGGTATGCCAGGGGAAACCACTCTAATATACTTTCGGGAATTTCTTGTATAACATTTTTTTTTTTATAAAAGACAGTAGTCTAGCCGTTTTAAAATATACAGTCCGAAAACCAAACTGGGAAAAGCAAGAAATGTCAAAACTTGGTACTCAATGTGCTGAACATATAGATGAAGAGGATATTTTTCAACTAAATGCAAGTCAATAGTTGATGTATAAATGTGTATAATAAGAATTATTATCATAATTAAAGTCAATCCTGATTTAGAAAAAATATGTTCAAGCAAAATTGACAACCTTTTCCAAACAAATCATTCTTGACCATTTTGTATTTATTCTTCAGATGTTCCACTTTTCCGTGTCTTAACATCATAGCTGTTCGAGTTATCTTCCTTGATTATTCTACAATTATTGAAGTACTAAAATTAACATGCTTTCCTTGAATAGAGGACAGTTGGAAAGGAAAAGTAATTTTTCTCAAATATTGTTCTGAAATATCAAGTTTATCGTGATATAAACAAACAGTAGATACGTATTAAGTTGTTTTCTTTCTTTTAAAAATTGTTTATCACCATCAAAACAAGGAATATATAGAACATAATTATAATACTTATAACGTTGTGTTCTTAATAGTTCAACGATATTTCATTTGAATATCGTTAAAAAGAAATAATGTAACAGAAAAAACAAACAAACAATAAGCGGAACCAGGGATTAACATTAAATTTTTCACGGATATATATATAAATAACATAATTGCTGTATATAAAATTATATTTCGGGTGTTAAATGTACTTATATAAACTTTATTTATTTTACAATATTTATGAAACAAGTGTTTACCACTTATACTAATCACGCTTGTTGGTCCGGATGTTAGCGCATCTTACTGTGGGAGGATACCGGAGTACCCGGAGAAAACCCACGTGTTCGGGCAGATGTCCCCATACCTTTTCACATCCGATCGGGGAATCGAACCCCGGCCGCCTTGGTGAAAGGCAAGTGTGCTATCCGCTGCACCACCCGATCACGTAAATGTACGTGGTATATAAGGAAATGCATTGTTTATCAACAGAGACAGCATGATGAAATAATTTAAAACTCATCCCAATATCATCAGTAAGCTGATGGATCAAATACATGTAGTTAATTTATAAATCTAAATTCATTGACACACATCACATTATATACATCACAATACTATGCTTTAAGATTTTATTGAGATGTTCTGATATTTTTTTGTGGAAATCTAGTTTAATAACAGAAATTGAACAATAGTACTGACGTAACGTCAGATGTTGACGCACATACGAAAAGTCGCGGATTTCGCTACATCAGCGCTATATAAAATCTTAATAAGGATCAAATATATATGTTATTATATACCATCTTATTCAGATTTTTTTTATCTACCTGAATATTTCATTAGAATATATAAAAGTTTCGAGTGCAACCTAATAATCACCGATATAACGTCAAAATTCGCCATTACTCCAATGTAATGTGTAACATAAACGGGTTACGCGTTTAAATAAATGAATATTTAAAAGTAAAATATGGGCCCATTCTGCAGATGTTTGAATTTTAAAGCTATATAACAATGTTTTCTTGAATAACATGATACTTGAAAGTCGATATCATTTTTGAAAGTTGCAAAAAATACATGAAACCCACTTGTATCATTTGTGTAATGTTTTTAGTTGTTCAAAATGTGCGTTCATTCGCTATATGATTTCTAGATGAATATGTTATGTCGTTTGTCTGGATTCGGTTTGGTGCAAGTTCTTAATCTATTCAAACAATCTGCAAAAGTTGATAGAAATTAGAGCGACAGTATTTGGGTTATTAAGATATTACTGGGTCTAGCCGTTATGTAACGGTCCGTAAAATGCGACTTTTAAGAAAAAATACCATATTTATGACTTTCGAATGAAATGACACCTCTGTTTGTTTTAATGAAAAAACATGCATTGGCAAGTTCTCTGACTCAGCTTTTTGAAGCATAACTTAGATATATTGTGTGTCCTAACACCGCTGCACAGCATTGATTTCCCCATGTCTAGCCGTCATGTAACGCTACGTTGTTTTGCGTCGAAAACATTAATTCGAACGTCATTTTCTTGTTTTGTTTATGAACAAAATTTAACATTTTTAGTGAATGTCCTATGGTTGTTTTTTACACGCAATAACAGCCAAAACATGCATACGTATTAATAATATCTCAGGGTTTCATTTTATGTAAATTTTCTAATTATCCGTTTTCAAATTTCAGACATATTGTGTTTGAAGGATGTGGCATTTATTTAACGATTTAGTTTTTCATAATTTTTGCATAAGCAGAGTGAATGAAATAACTGGTTTTAGCGGGAAAAGGTGATATCTTCTTAATGGAGAGACAAAAATATGTATAATATCGGTACTTTAAATTTGAAAACATCCCACAACATTGAGGATAATTTGATGTCGATGGCTTTAATAATAACATGTGGGGAATTGATTTTATTTGCACATATTGGTAAGAAAAAAATCACTACGTGGTGAATGATGACGTTACGTCAATCACTTTAAAGGAAAACGCAGAGAGGGATATCTTATAAAAACATCAATGACTCAGCTCTGTGTATTGGAAGCAAAAGATGACGAAACCGCGTGTAATTTTTTACTATAAAATTGTAAGGAAATGGTTGAATCGTTGTAATAGTTTTCCACATCATCTTAAGGTGTGCAAGATAGGAAATTGACCGTGTAAGACACGTCTTTTTTTGCATATTTCTAAATATAACAAAAACAAATTTTCTACAACTTTGATTTACAGAAAACAGGTACATTCGACACAAAGAAGCATTTTCCATAGGTTAAAAAAGCAGGAATTTTAGAGTAAAAGTATCCCGTATGATGTCACAATGACGTCATTCTCTTTTTGTGACGTAATACTTTGATGCGGATGCTGGTAGTTGGATGCTTGTTCTACATGGGCGCAGCAAGAATATTGGTAGATACTAATAAGCATGCGCTATGTTTTATAATGTGAACACACGAAGACGCGTTGGTGTTTTAATTGTTGAAATTATCTGTAAATTATTTTCAAACATTGAAAGTCACAAGTGGATCAGAATTTGGTACAACTGGTGATAATCGGGAAGCGTAACAACCCCCCCAAACACACACAATATAATCGAATAGTGTCACCTCCTTTCACTATGATTTCAATCCAACCGACTTTTGTCACTCTCCTGTCACAATGATATCAATCCCACCGACTATTGTCACCCTCCTGTCACAATGATATCAATCCCTACGACTATTGTCACCCTTCTGTCACAATGATATCAACCCCACCGACGTTTGTCATATTCCTGCAACATACAGTAGATCAATCCTGCACAGCTATTGTCACCTGCCAGTCACATGGACCAATCCAACTCCCTTGTCACAAATATCAATCCTACTGCCTATTGCTAATCTCCTGTCCTAAACAAAACAAGAACACTAGCACATCATAGCTTAGTGATTACTAGCTGTTGAATGTATTGAAAATGACTGGGAAACTCTTTCCAGACCGTGTGGGAGATGGTAGAAGGCCTATATTTTGACCTGGCGAGGTCAAAGCATCCTCAAAACTCCAGGGTTGACGTTCACTTGCGCTCTCTGTACCCCTGGAATATGTCAAAGCAAAATTGAAGGCACGCGGCTAGCAATTTGATTGGTCTCAGGTAGAAAAAAATTCTGACCAATCGATAGGCAGATACCTGGGCATTTGTAGATTACAAATTTCATGTTTATTGGTTTCCTCAGATACATTACAATGTACAAAATGGAGTACAGAGATGCGACACCCAACTACAAAGTCAGTCAATTTTACCGTTACGCGACCGAGCAATTCTTTTAATGTACATCAAAGTATCAAACTAGTCTTCTCGTCTCATCTATAAGGTGACGCACACTGAGCCTTCAATTTTGTCATGACAAATTCCAGGGTCACAGAGAGCGTAAGTGAGCCTAACCCCTGGAATATCGCAGATGGGGGGTGGGGTGGGGGTAAAGTAACCATTGTTGTACGTTTTGACAGACAGCAGGTTGTACAATTACAAATTACAGTTGAAGGAGGAGAACATTTAGACATTTTAGCCTGTGTGGAAAATGTAATGAGCGAAATTCAATCTTGTATGTGATTTTTCAAATTTATTTATTGGAATGCATGAACAGTGTGATAACTCTGAGGGTAACAACACCAATGTCAATGTATGGCTAAATGACAAATGACATCACGTCATTATACAATGTAACTTATAATCTGAGCGCGCTTTCATTCTCGGACTTCAATCAAATAAAAAATACGGATTATTTTAATATATGCATGTTATTCTATTAATTAATATGTGCTTTATAACTTACATGTACATATCATCGTTGATATTAAGGTAGCAGATGGTACTTATACGGGTAGCGTTATTTTATCACATTTTTCTTTCACTTCTTAACCGGTATCTTTACGTTCAACTCGATCATTGTCAAAATTGGTTACACTTGTCATATACAAACCGTGACCATATGAATGTCAAATAAATAGGCTTTACATATGTCTATTTTCATTCCGATAGCTCTGAAAGCACGTGTTTTACAAAGCCGGCCGTGTGCCACAAACGTCAAACCAGTAACGAAATGACGTTAAAAGTGTGTTACACTATTGTGCGTCAACATCTGACGTAACGTCACTACTAATTAATTACACTTACATACATCAAAGGTCCAAACGATGCAAACTAATACCAACAATTACCTTAAAGTCATTTTATGACGATACGAGTACATCAATCTATATATCTATGCCAAAGACAATTAATTTCCACTGAAAATGTCCACGGCCTGCCTTCTCCTAGTTGTAGCACTCTTTTGTTCGGTCAATGACATTATACAATGTAGGGCTAAATGGCGACGACAGCCATCCTGTAGTGCACGTGCATGATGAGAGCCAGATAATTCAGGCATTCATTTGTC